CACTCGCACCCCCAGGTCCTTTTCCACTGTGCCTTTTCCATCCACTCTTCCCCCAGCCTGGAGCACTGCAGGGGGTCATTGTGACCCAGGTGCAGGACCCAGCACTTGGCCTTGTTAAACCTCATCCCATCAGCCTCAGCCCGTGGCTCCAGCCTCTCCAGACCCCTCTGTAGATCCTCCTACCCTCCAGCAGATCAACACACCCATCCAACCCGGTGTCATCTGGAGCTTACTGAGGGTGCCTCTGTCCCCTCATCCAGGTCACTGATAAAGATATTAAAGAGAATAGAACCAAATACTGAGCCCTGGGAACACCACTTGAGACTGACTGACTAGCACCTTGACCTCATCTACATCTTGCTGGGGGATTACTGGGATAGAAGTTAAAGCTGTTTATGTCACAGCTATGCTCTACAGAGCCTACACAAGACACCTCCTGTGCTACGGCAGACAGTGTCCTCCCTCTCCAGGACCTCTAACTACTGACTTTTCCAGAAGGAAGCTCCAGTGATCTGCCTCCTGTCCTGGGTGGTGCCTCACCAAGCTGCTCCCACAGCCCCGGAGGGGGACGGTGACCACCACGGGAGCTGCTCCCACACACAGGAGCTGTTACCCACCTGGGTGGCCAAGCTCAGCACCTGCTGCACCAGCTCCTGTGTCTCCGTGGGCTTCTTGAGGAACAGCTTCACGATGGCTGTCAGCAGCTGCAGCTGGACCTGTGGGTAGCCAAAGAGGGCTAGGGAGAGCCAGCCAGACCGACCGCCTCGCTGCTGTGTGGGGACACGCCAGTTTTCCCCCTACGTGCTGCCAGGACACAACCTCCACGTGCCTTTGAAGGGCCCAAACACGTGGTGGCTGTGCAAGCAGCAGTGACAAGTGTCAGGGCACTTTGCGTGGCCCCCAGCCAGGTCTGCAGCCCGTTTCAAGCCGATTACTCAACGCTCAGCCTGCCAGAGCCACTGGTTGACACGGGGGTTACTGGGCAAGGTCGTGGGACCGGGTAACACGGTCCCACGAGGGCAGTGGCCAGAGCATCCTCTGACTTTCATGGGAATAACCAGCAGTGATCCACCTCCAACAGTCCCTCAGACTCAGGACTAGGCTGTCAGGATTGCTGCCTTGGCTATTTTGCATTTACAGACTCTCCCCTGTTTGTGACTTAGTTTCATGGTGTTTTGCACAGCGTAGGAAGTTTCCACAGATGGAAACTCCTCAAAATTTCCACAGGCAAAACTACTGGCCTCAGCTGCCCCAGCACAGACACATCGACTGGGCTGGAAGGGACCTTTCAAGGCCATCTAGTCCAACCCCCTGCAGGGAGCAGGGACATCCCCAACTAGAGCAGGTTGCTCAGAGCCCCGGCCAACCTCACCTGGAATGGTTCCAGGGATGGGGCAGCGACCACCTCTCTGGGCAGCCTGGGCCAGGGGCTCACCACCCTCAGTGTCAAATTGTCTTCCTTCTCTCTGGTCTAAATCTCCCCCTTTCAGTTTAAAACCATCCCCCCTTGTACTGTCACAACAGGGCCTGCTAAGAAGATTGTCCCCAGCTTCCTGATAGGCCCACTTAAGTCCTGAACAGCCACAGTAAGGAGGAGCCTTCTCTTCTCCAGGCTGAACAACCCCAGAGAAGGGGCAGGCACATCCTTCCATCTGTCTGACTCCATTTTCCAGCTCCAAAGGGCTGATCCTGTCCTGGCACAGAGGCATGACCAGGTCCCTCCCAGTTCTAAAGGGAGAAAGGTGCTTGAGAGATCCCCACGGTGGCATTCCACAGGCCACATTCTACACCCAAAACCCCTGTGGGACTCCAACTGCCCCAAACACCTGCAAGGAAAACACCTTCCTGACCCTGCCAGAGCACATTCTGTTACTCCCCAGTTAGGACAGTCTTTGTCACAGCATCCCCCCTCAACCAGCTGGTCCTGCTGGGGGCCAGACCCCCCTGTACCTGCGTGCTCTCATCGTGGAAGCCCTCCAGGAAGCTCTCCAGCAGCTCGTCGGCGTTGTCGATCCGCTCGGCGTACTCCCCCACGATCCAGATCATGGCAGCCCGTGCCTCGGGCTCGTCCAGGGAGTCCAGGTTCTCACAGAGGGTGGCAATCACGCTCTCATACCTTCCCCAGGAGAGGACACGTGTTCACCCAGTGCAGGAAACCTGGGTCCCAGCTCTGCCCTAACCCCACACCATGGCCGTCGCCCTCAGCAGAACCAGGCACCGAGCCCCTGCCACCACCCTCCTGGGGCTGTCCCCAAGGCACGTGGTGTGACAGCACCCAGGCTGACCCCCAAGCACATTCCCCTGCACCCAAGTTGACTCCTCAGCCCTGCTCGGCTGGTCTCCCTCCTTTCTGCAGCAGCCCCGAGGTGCTGCCTCTTTGTGGGGTTCCTCTTCATTACCAGCTCGGTTCATTAGTGTTTATTGCCACTATTTTAGTGCCCAACTTCCTGCTCACACTGGTGCCTGTTCATGCTGGTGCAGCTGGAGCCCCCCCAAGCTGCCCTGGCTCCAGCAACAGGAGCCAGAATTAAGAGCCAGAGTTGGTTTATGCTGACTTGAAGGACCTCAAAGCCTCTGGCAGTTCCTGCCCGTGGAGGTATCTGGATCCAGGACCTCCATCCTGGAGCTGGTGATGTTCCCAGGACTGAGGAAGTCCCTGGGGTTGGGGACAGCTCTCCTGGGCTTAACACTTGAGGCAGCACTGACCACAACCCCAAACTGGCAAAGAACCCAAACCCACCTTCATCACAGGGAGTATCTAGGTGGCTTCACACCAACCATCCACCCCACACCAGGAGGGAGCAGTAGCTCAACCCTCACCCACCCCCAGCTCTTTGTAGGTCCCCCCAAGCATGGAGGAGCAGAAATAGGACCAGGAGAGTCCAGAGGGCGGGTGACCACCACGCACTTGTTCGGGTACTTGCGGAAGATGTCCTTGATGACCACGATGGCCTCCTGCACCACGTAGTTGACCTTGGTCTGGATGAGGTCCAGCAGGGTGCTGACGCAGCGCTCAGCCGATTGCTGCCGGAGGGACACGGTCAGGCAGCTCTTACACCCCCATCCCAAAGCCTCCACTGCCCTTCCCCTGCCACCTTATCCCCTCCACACTTCCTCAAACCCAACCAAGACCAGAACAGGAGACCCACAAGCAGGGTGTGCCCTTCCCATCCAGGTCTGGCTCCTCCTCTGCCCCACACCCCCTCTCTCCAATCCCACGGGATGCATTTCAGGCTGCAGGAAGACAGCAGCTCGCGAGAGCAGCAGCATCTTGCACATTGGTTGGTTTAGATCTGCACATCCCCATGGCTCAGGCTTAGGAGAGGGACAACCAGAGCTCATGTTGTGCTGATAAACCCCCCCAGAAGAGGCAGCTCCCTGTGGGAGGTGGACGCGAGCCCCTCCCCTCCTGCCGCTCGCCGGTGCCCGGCGGTTTGTCCCGTGGCACAGAGGATGCTCTGAGGTGAACCCAGGGCACCATCGGATGCTGGAAGCTCCGTGACCTCGCCTGGGAGCTGGCCAGTAGCCAGGCCATGCAGAGCCACTGAAAGGTTTTTAATAATCCTCTTCTTCAAATGAGCCCCGAGGTGAGGCAAAGACTCCGGCCCCTCGGTAAGGGGCTGGCTCCCTCCCCGTGCCCCCTCTGCCCCCACACAAGCCACTCATATGATCTGCTGCATTATCCCAGAAACATTTTGGTTGGAAAAGATCTTTCAGAACATTGAGTCCAACCGTCCCCCAGCACTCATGTCCCTCAGCACTACATCTCCACAGCTTGGAAACCCCTCCAGGGATGGGGACTCCACCACTGCCCTGGGCAGCCTGGCACAACCCTCAAGGGGAAGAAATTGTTCCTCAGGGACAACCTCAATCTTCCCTGGCACAAACTGAGGCTGTGTCCTCTTGTTTTATCCACTTGTTGCTCAGGAGAAGAGCCCAACCCCCCCCCCGGCTCCAGGCTCCTGTCCGGGGCGGTGCCGAAAAACCCGAGGGTCTCCCCTGGGCCTCCTTTGCTCCAGGCTCAGCCCCCCCAGCTCCCTCAGCTGCTCCTCCCCACACTTGGCCTCTAGAGGCTCCCCCATCTTTGTTGCCCTTCTCTGGCCACACTCCAACCACTAACAGCCAGGCAGTTCCAGGCAGCTGGGTCTGCAGAGGAGCACAGGGCAAGCAGGGATCCTCAAACCCCAGAGGCAAGGGCTGAGGGGACAAAATTCCCTCCTTACATCCAATATATGCCCGTGGAACTACTATGTCTCATCCCCAAGCCAAGGACAGCTCCAGCTCCTGGGCTTGGCTGCCTCCAGCTCTCCCCATGCACGCAGGAGAGCCCAGCCCTTGCCCAGCCCCAGCAGGACCCGACGTGGCTCATCCCTCACCTCCACCTTGATGGCACAGCGGCCGATGGCTCGAACCGCCTTCCTTACAAAGTCCACGTCCACCTCCGTGGCATATTCCTTCAGCTCTGCCAGCACCTGCCAGAGGGGACAAGGCAGTAAGAGTCTGGCACCAAGAAAAGCCACCCCTACCTCAGGGCAGTGACCCAGGAGAGGCAGACTGGGAGGTACCGCTGCTCCCATCCGCGTCCTGCAGAGCTTGGTCTAAGGTTTTCTCAGGCAAATCCCCTTCCTACAGAGCCCTCTCCAAGACCCCCTTGGTGCCCAGCCAGCACCCTCAGGCAGCCCCTGACCTGAGCAATGTTGGCCTGGGAAGCCAGGCGGATCATGATGTCCAGCTTCTCCAGCTTGACGTAGATGGGGTCGTTGTACTTCACAAAGAACACCTTCATCTCGTGCTTCAGGATCTCGGGCCTGGAGGACAAGAAGCAGCCATTAAGGGAGACATGTTCCTTCACTCTGACCACAAAGAGAGACACTACAAGTTTTCCAGAACCCATGGTTTTCTCCAGAGCTTTCTGAACGCTCATTACTGCTGTCAGATCTCTCTAGTGGGAGAAGCAAGATGAGCCAGTGCTGTGCACTCACAGCCATGAAGCCCCCAGCAGCCTGGGCTGCACCCCCAGCAGCATGGGCAGCAGGGCAGGGAGGGGATTCTGCCCCTCTGCCCCACTCC